GAAAAAATTTTTGAGCCAACATGATCCTTAGCACCACCTTGAGAAACAGCATATATGGTCTTTGCTGCTGCAATTTGACCTTCAGCTGAATTTGACTTGAGAAGGCCAAGCAATGGTGGAATACAACCCCCAAGCAATACTTTGAGCCGTAACTCATTTTCTTTGCACAGAGAACCTAAAACGCTAGCAGCCCGCAACTTTATCCCAAGGGATCCAGACCGAAGAAGAGATACGAGTACTGGAACTGCTTGAGAATGTGATCCAACTGCACTAAAAGCATTCTCACGTGTATTAATAAGCTCAAGCAATTGAATCAATGAATTCTCTTTTTCTTGGGGTGATGAGGAATTCTGCCGCATTTGCTCAATGCACTGGGCAACGCTTGCTAATGTCCCATCTGGGTCCTCCATACTACTCCGATCTCTGCAGGCAGAGAGAGAACAGAAAGTTCTTAGGTTTTGATTGTCATCAAAATTAACCAAACTTTAATCCTTGATATCTGCAAAATTGTGAAGTACAGAATTTTTTTAAAAGCCTTTACAAAGTGGTAGCTGACTGATATTAGTACTACTTTTGTCAGTGTAAAAATGTAAAATATGATGGTTGTCAAGAGAGGCACCGCAGGAAGCAGGATAAAAGTTAGATTCTTAACATGATAAATGATGTCTATTAATGCAAAAAAGAACAGTGAGAAGCCCTGAAAATCATATAGAGAAGCACAGTTGATGTTTTTGTGATTCTATCTACTTGATTGAGGTGCCCATATAGCGTAGTTGACACTTGCATATAGTCTCTATTGAAGCCTAATTACCTATCAAACTCTCAGACAATTAGGTGGAATAACAATTAGATAACAGTTATGGTCCGAAAGGAAAAACATGCCCCATATCAGGAGCAAGTACGAGGATGACACACGGTTGTAACAGATAATAACAGTGGGTCTTGAGATATTCTCAGCAAATGTATTTTAAAAAGAGTGGGCGCAAAGCTTACTGCATATCATTACATTCTTTATAGCCAAAAGCTTAGTAAATCAAAACATCGGCAGCAGAATAATACTGGAATGTGTAAACTAAGGTGATATTTTGCAACAGACCTTGAATTCACTTTGGCAAGTGTGTGGGGAGTTAAAGTCTCCAAGTCATGAGGTTTAGCATCCCCATTTCTCTCCTGCGACAATAAGTTAAACTCATGGTGAGAGAGAATACTTAGAGATACAGGCAGGAGGTGGAATACACAGGTGCATAAGAGCAAACAAATATAGAACATAAACTACACACATCTTTCAGTCTTATAATACTTCAAAGATTCTCTCAAATTAAAGCTATATCCGAATAGGCAAATCACAATATTTATCCAGGTTAAAGATATCTCACTGTGATGTTCAGGAATTTTCCAATCTTCGATGAAAAAACACCATTTAACTCTCTGTATAACAGTATTAGGCAAGAGAGAGACACACCAAACTATGTTCAGAAGAATATGTTTCTACAATAAATTTTTTATTAGAGAAGTATTATTTCTGCACTTGACATAATCATAAAGTAATTTCAAAAATGCACGAACAGATATTTCAGCATAAAACGATAATTCTTGCCCAGGTGAGCTTTTATATTCAAAACAGTAGTAAAGCTAAAGACAAATCACCCTTCCCTAATCCAACTTTCTCACAATAATGTAAAAGATATTCTCGGAGCATAGTGATGATCAAGAGCACTTTTATAACTATAAAGACAACTAGACAATAATCAGACTAAAAAAGGAACAATCTTAATGAGTAGGTGTCAGCAATCAATGGATGCAATCTAACTTAGATTTCAAAAGCACAAACATGACAGTCTCAATTCTTGATTTCACATCTCGAATTGAGTAGATCTCCAAGATTTGCTTCTGATTGATATTTTATATAACTAATTAAAGAATTTACCAAGCCATTAGCGGCAGGTATGCTGCCATTATTGGCAGAAAATGTCCAAGCTAGTGTTGCCGCCATCTTTGCTGTGATCTCGAGATCGTCACTTCAGATCTGACTCTCCCACTCAACCAAGCGCTAAGAGCGGCTTCCTTTTGAATGCACTAGTCAACAACAGTACAATTCAGTCCATTAAAAAACTACACAACTGAATAATAATAAAAATTAAGAAATCAGGCAGTTAGCACAGATCAAATCCATTATGAAAATATCACTAATCTGGGTTCTAACAAAAGTGATGTGCCAAATCACGCATAGCAAATCAAATGAATTGGAACGCACAACAGTAATTTAAGTAAGTCCATAAGAATTAAAAGTGAATGAAGCTCAAAACTAAAAATTGCTAAGTTGACTAGATTCACGCAATCAGAAATCAAATACAGAAAAATCAGAAGAAAGAAATCGCATCAAAACTCTTCCTCAGCAAAACACTAGATCAACAACTCAGGAAATGAAATTGGACATCGTTACCAAAAATCAACGCAGGATATTCGGCCAGAAATGTCCATCCTTAATTTTAGCCAAATCTATACGTATGCATAGTATAGTACGTATTAAGAAGAAGATATAGCAGAAACGGGAAATTGATTAAACCTTTTCTAGATTCGGTGGAAGAACATAAATTTTTCTTCTGCATGAATGTCGGTACTGTAATTAATGTAGACAGATTTCTAAAAATCAATTTGTTGAAATGCAAATTGAGAATGGGTTTCGTAGGAGATAAGCGAGGAAGATAAAAGGCCTCTTCACTGAGAAAGAGTAAGACACAAGGAATCTGTACGTGTGTGTGTGTGTGTGTGTGTGAAAGAGAGAGAGAGAGAGAGAGAGAGGTGGGGTGCTGGACTGGAGTTGGTTCACCGACAGATTTGGAAGAAGGCTCCTTGTTTTTCGGCTTTGGCTCCAGCTCGGCTCATTGAGAGACGACTAGTTAAAAAGTAATAACTGAAAGCAAATATCCTGAGATTTCAAATTTTTGAAATAGATTTTTCTTTCATGGATTTCGTACAAAATATGGTTCTGTTTAGACAAGGAGCTCTCCATTACCTTTCTAGTTGATAACAAGCTCTACAAGATTCGCTCCAGACTTGTAATGATCTAAGAGCTTGTTTGTTAGAATTTAAAAGTCAATTAAAATCAAATTTTTGATCGTTATTTCACTATTTCAACTGTCATTTTTGGATTTTTTTCTCACAGATAAGACCCATTTTATCTCTAGCGGTAAAAAAATCAATTATCAAAATTTCTGCCAAACAAACACTAAATCACTTAGCCTTTGTTTGATTCCCATTATTTTTAAAATATATTTTTTTCTCTTATTTTAAATTACACATTTTTTATAAAATAATATTACAAAAAAACTCGTAATTTTTCCTTATTTTTTAACCATACATTTTCTATCAATCTACTATTCCAAAATGTATTCTTAATCAAAAATTGGACTCAATCAAACAAAACTCAAATTTGCTATACAAAAAATGAAGCCCCGATTTGATAACCATTAAAGCAAAACTCTTTTTTTTATCAAACTTATTTTCAAATCTACATTCTCTCAATAAAATACGTTGCACATAAATTCAATTTTTTTTTTATTTTTTAACTTCATATTCTCTGAAAAATTACCATTTCAAAATTTATTTTCTCCCAAAAAAACTCTTTTTAATAGTTGTCAAAATGGGACTAAGTTTCACTGTCTAACAATACAGGTTGACCATTCATACCTCCACTAAAATAATTGAATAATACATATCTGCGTTAAATCAACCAATGGTCACCCAACTTTATACTTAATATCATCATGATCACTTAATTTGATTTTGTTTCATCATGCCACCAAATTTTATATTTAGTATCACCATGGCCACTCAATTTCTTTTCACCCTTTTTCACTAATTTTGAAAGGGGTAAAATGATAACTTTACATTATATATATATATAATAAATTTAAAAATCAAAAACAAAATAAAAACTTATTTTTAAAAAAAGTTACTTAAATGAATAATATAAAACAAAAACTTAAAAAAGTTACTTAAAAAATAAAAATAAAAATTTGTTTTAAAAAAAAGTTTGTGAAATAAAATAAAAACTTATTTTAAAAATCAAACATTACTTAGAAAAATAAAATTAAAATGAAAAGTTATTAAAAAAAATGGTTTCATAAAAAAAACTAAAAAATTATTTTAAAAACATTTTAAAAATAAAATAAAAACTTATTTTTAAAAAAAATTAGAAAACTAAAATTAAATAAAGACTTGTTTTTGGAAAGAGATTGGATGGCAATGGTGACACTGAGTATAAAGTTAGGATGATTCAATTGCTATGAGATTTTATTCGGTATTTCTTCACGGGCAATTTGTTGGTCTTCTCATACACCTTGCATTTAATTTACATTGAAGTCACGTACCATCCTCCTATTTAATTTTTTTTATTGAAGACTAAAATTAACATGATGAAAACTTTCTAACTACTTAAAAATTACATAATAACGTTAACAAATATACATAGAATAATTTTTCTTAAGTAAATGTCCTACAAATTCGTAACTTTCGATAATTAACAAAATATTGTGCAACGAATCGAATTGATTTAGAGATCGATGAATGCCCTCCAAATTTATAGGATTGTTGATGGATAATCACATCTTACACGGCTCAAAATCATTAGATTTAAGTGGACACATATGGAATCTCCTTCATAAGGAACATATTAGAACGTGTACTCCTACAAGATTGTGCTCCCAAAAGTGGTGAGATTATTAAAGAAACAAAAGCAGGATGCATATGACATAAAACAATGATTGGGGCTTCATGCCATATACCAGCTATGAAGCGAACATGAAAGGCCAGGCCAGACCAGCTCAATCACTACAAATTTTATTCTCCTACACACATATACTGTTTATTTCCTCAAAGTGCCAGCCATGGAAGTTGATCTGTAACTGTCAAACATGATGAAGATTTTAATCATCACGACACTTTCTAATCAACTGATATAAAAACATACTATTATACAAACCCCCCAAAAAAGAAGCTTGGTGGTTTTGTCAGTTGAAAGGCACGTTTCTTGACTTTCTTTCTCGACATTTTCTGCACTAGTCGACCACATTTACCTACATGCTTTATGGAAATGGAGAAATTGAAACTGGAGTTCCCCACCAGCGAAGGAAGAAAATGCCTCTCCGGTTTCACTAAATCCCAGCTTCCCAAGACAAAAATACAGTAATAGGTTGCTCTATGGCAAAGGGCATTAAAAATAATTGTCTACAATGCATCTCTAAACTGCAGTTGCGTTTAACAACTCATCATCTTTGATTTTGGACTTCTATTTCATGATTATCTGTATTGGAACAGAAGAAAAACTCTGCAATGACTTACAGAAAACCATTAGAGGTTAAATAAAAGGACTTAATTTCCTTAGGCAGGACGATAATAAACTTGCTGTGAATGTATAGAGCTGAAAATTATGCCAGGCTAATAGAAGTGGCGTATGATTGCAGGACGGTCAAAGCTTGCTCAGTGATGGCTCTGTCTTGCCTAACCCAGTCGCCAACAATTTCTAATGTCTGGCTGCCTTTAACACCACTGCAGCGTCACAGAGTTTCCCTCGAGACAAGAGGCTCTCGACTCTATTTATGAGAGATTCAATTCCATCACCATATTGGTCAGTCTCCTTAACTTGAACTTAGAATAGTTGAATAGAAATCAGTACAGAAAATTTCTGGGCTAGTGTGTTTCAATATTTCCATGTTTTGTGGTGCTGTGTGTCAAAAGAGAAAAACACACCTTCAACCAAGAAGCAACATGCACTAATGAATATGACAATACACCGCCTCCTCCTTGTGTGTTGAGCGGAAGAGAAGGTCACCAAGGCTATAACCAGGCTCAGTTTCTCCAATAATTGACACCACTATGAAATCAACCCAAAATCCCTCGAACCACCTTTCAATCATGGTTGCTCCTTGTTCACCCACTTTGGATGTGTAACAAAAATATAATCACAAAGATGAAATAACCACAAAGGCAGTGAAGGAAGCAGTAGACAAAAATCACATAGAGAGCCGCCTGTTATCACAGGCAAGGAAGAGAGACAGAGAGCGAAATCATATGACCAAGAGACGAGGTAGCCCAAGATATATAGGTATTAATTAGGGTATAGTGATGGGTCGAGCCCAATATGGAGGTAAGTGGACTGTTAAGTGGGTTACTCAATATTAGCCGTCCAAGTAAGTGAAATGGGCCATAAGCAACCCTAAACAGTGTTTGGCTCAGATTTTAATCTGAATCAAAGTCTAACAATCAATATTAACCACATCTTTCATGAGCCCCACAACTTTTTAACCACATATTTCGAAAACTTCTATCAAAATCTATTAAAAATCTAATTTTAATCTCCGTCAAACAACCTCTAAATAAATTAGGCTACTTCAAATGGTCCAAAACAATTTTCGATCAGGTTATTTCATTATGGTGTTGATTTAACGTTCAGTCATTTGATCGATGCCGACTGAGAAAAAACATAACAAGTTACATCATAGCACGGAGAGGTCGTTTAACAACAATTTGTCGAACAAACATCCACTTTGATGTCAAAAGACCTGCAAAGAAACATTTTCACTTGTTAATAATATTTCCTATATTGGGAATCGATAAAATTGAAAACTAGTTACCTTTACCAATGTTTAGAATGTCTTTGCAACTTCTAAATTTCACCAATGACAACACTTTAGTGCCCATGTTCGGAGGATTATTCTTATCACTTTTTGTGATACAATATCTCTAATAAAATATAGTCTAACATCAATGTATTTAGTGCATTTGTGAAAGACAAAAGTTTTCACAAAGATATATAGAAAATTGACTATTTGAATACACTATCACGTAATCATTTAGAACGCAGAGTTCAGGCAGCAAACCTTTAAGCCACAAAACTTCTTTAATTGTTTTAGTGGTGGCAATATATTCTGATTCGATCGTGAATAGCATAACTATGTATTGTAACCATGATTTCCAACTAACATAAGAGTTGGACAAAGTAAACACGTAGGACGAAGTGGATTTTCTATTATCTCTATCCACTGCATAGTCAGCATGATGTGATCTGGAGAAGGCCCGAATCGATCGAGAATTTGTTGATTGTGGTCAAAGGGTTAAAATCAAAATTCAAGCTTAATTGCGAGCCAAATGGGGTTGATTCGAGCAATACAATCAATAGTCTAAGCCACAGAGTGCATGAGGTTGAAGTCGATGATCCAAAGTGCAAGTTTGATGTTGGGGCCAAGGTCTAAATCAATGTGGAACAGCTTGTGAATGAAGCCGAAGTCGGAGCCAAACTAAATAGCAATGCGACCGCAAGGCAGTACCTTCATGTGGTCGCACGGAAGCCAACAGGGAAAAATTGGGCGTCAAGCAGTTGAACCATGCGACCGCATGACAGTTGAACCATGCGACCGCACTAAATTTGCCCATGCGGTCGCACAATTAATTCCAAGCCAAAAATTCGCAAGTTTCCAATTTTAACTAGAAGACTTATCTTTGATATTTTTGCCATATTAGGAGACATGTTTTACCTTATTAAATTAGTATTTTAGAATTTATTCCTTTTTTATATTATTTTCTAAGGTTTTAGTTTTAGTATAAATAATTCATTTATTTCATATTGTAACAAGTTTTATAATGATTGAAAATTGAGAGTACTCTCGTTCAAGGCGTGATGCTTCACTTTACCGAACTTATCAAGATTTAACAAATCTTGTGGCGTTCACAATTATCCGGATGAGATTTGTAAGCCTTGTGATTTGGAGGTTGTAGATTTAAAATATCTACGATCGCCTAGTTCATTGTTTAG